GAGGGCGGCGTTGGGGCGGGAACTAGATCATGGCCTTTTGCGCAGGATGCGCGCCGCGTCCCACTGTTGCCGCGCATTCTTCATATTGGACGACAAAGTGTCCATGCTGAGGCGAAACAGCAATATTGTCGTATATCAGTTGAACAAGTAGGATGGGGCATCCCGGATCCGGCACGTTCGGGCGGTTTGTGGCCGAGCAGGGACAGACACGAGTAAAGAAGGATATGGCGCGAGTGCACCTAGCTTGCGTCATCCTCTCTTCCCCTCCCTATCCTCCCTTGTTTTTCTTCTCTTCCCTGGCCGCCGTTATCCTCGTTTCACTCACTCGTCCCTCCCCCTCTCTCGTCCCCCTCCTGTTCCGTCGTCCCTCTTCGCTCCACCCTCGTCATCCTACCTTTCTGATCCTCTTTTGTCCTGGCCCCCTTCGTCCCTCGTCGTGTTCCCCTCCGTCGCCTTCTCCCTTCGCACCCCTCCTTCCACTATTCTCCATCCTCGCTCCTCGCTCCTTCTGCCTCCTCCCTCCCGCCCCGTCTCTGTTCCTCCTCCTCCACACCCAGTTTTTTGTTTTCCACATCCGTTTTTGTATATAGTTCCTCCATGCCGCACCACCAAACGTATCAGCACGGCGGGTGGGGCATTTCGCTTGATACTACCTCGCAAGTTATGATCCTGAGGCTTGCTATTTGCTACAGCTGCCCGGGTTGAACATGTGTAGTTTTAGAGAGGATCTCTCGCCGTGGCGCCGCGAAGATTCCGATTTTTTCGCAGCAGTTACACGCATGGTGCAAATGCCGCTTCCAATATGGAACTCACGCCTTAGTCGTGCCCATTCGTGTTACAAGTTTGGGACCCTTTTATATGGATGGGCCAAATGTCGTTTTCAAATTCGAGTTTATGCTTTAGCGCCGCGCGCAAGCGTAATACTATCCCGACGGTGGGATTCCCATACGCGAATCTTGGATCGTCCCTCGCTTCCTCCTCGTCGCCTTGGCGGTGGCGTCCTCCCGCCATCTGATGCGTCTCCTCCTCTTCGTCGTCGTCGCCCTCCGTTTTCTCTTTCTCCTCGTCCTCGCCCCCTCTCCTCCTCTTCCTCCTCCTTCTCCTCCTCCTCCTCTTCCTCCTCCTCCTCCTCCTCTTTTTTCTTCGTTTCCTCCTCCTTTTCCTCCTCCTCCTCGCCATCCTCCTCACTGTCCCTGTCCTGTCCTCTTCTTGCTTGTTTTCCCCATGCACCGCCCCTGCCTCCATACCGGGGCAAATTGATGTTCCTCGGCGCCTTTGCCGCTGCGGCCGGCATGGGCGTGTTCTCCGATGGCCGAATCGCCCAGCCGTCGGGGCGGCTCCGCAGGCGAGGCCTTTGGGACAACCCCGCGAGCCGCTGGGGCGCGGGAGCCAGCCGTTGGGACAATCCTTTTAACGTCTCGAGCTAATCGCGCCCGCGCTCTGGCGGGGGGCATCTTGAAGTCCAGCTCTGCCGCGAACTGCTCCACTTCAGCCCTGAAGTCCACCGCTCTCTTGGGGGACGCATTCTCGAGCACGAGGGTAGCGCATGGGAAGCATCCTCGAGGGAGTGGCCCGTGATTGATTGCTTGCAGCATGCCAGCTCGAGATCCCAGCTCCCAGGAGTTGTGCGCCTGCGTCCGAGCGCGAACGCAAGTCATTGACAGACGAAGACCCCGCCCAATGAATCCACGCGCTTCAGGCCTGATGCGCCCTCACGTGCCCCGTTCGGATTCGAACATGGAGGCGGGGACCCCATAAAGAGGGATTCCCGCCAGATGCGTCTACGCGATTCATTCACAGACGAGACTGCCGATCGAAGTGTTTTAGATTCAACCCTGACGGGGCACAAACAGACGACACGTACAGGTTTCCCACGACTTCGTTCGGATTCGGACGCGGAGGTGGGGGCCCCGTAGGAAGGGGGTTTTGCCTGAGACTTCCTCGCGATTTACTCGCAAACAAGCGCCCGTTCGAGAGTTCCTCTAGATTCAGGGTAGTGGAAGCCAACAGTGACGACAGTTAAATGTTTTTGGAGGGCCCGCTCATATTGAAACAACATCGGTTCCGGGCCCCATACGGAGGAGGCTCCCGCCTGAAATCCCTTTGAAATCCACTCGCAAAAGTGGCTCCCGCCTGATGGTCCCTCCATATTCAAGCCTGGGGAGCCCAGAAGTGACGATACCAAAAGACGTTTTGATGACCCGCTCGGACTTCCTCACTCAGAAACGAGGCGCCCGTTTGATAGTTTGTCCAATTACGCGCCTCCGGAACCCGAGAGTGAAGCGCGAGGAATGTATACGTGAATGGTGATGATGGTGGTGATGATGATTTTGATGAGGATGATGTAGGAGTGTATGATGATGGTAGTGGTGATGATAATGGTGCTGCTCATGGTGTTGATCATAAGCATGATCATGGTTGTGTTCATGATGCGTGTGTGAGTGTTTGAGTGTGTGGGTGATGATGACGATGACGATGGTGATGCTACTGGGTGAGTAAGTGAGCGCGCGAGTGCGCACGATGGTGAGCGTGAGGAAGAGGGGGTGGAAGAGATCCTGCGCGGGGGTGTGCAGTTTAGACAAGAACTTCATGTTTGATGTTGGGGGAGCAGTTGCTGCACGGATGGAGGGGTGCCGCTTTCAAAATACGGCGTTTGCTTCAGAGCCGTGCGCATTCGTTTATGACATGTTGCAGCAAATGGTTCTTTCTCACAGTGGGGTTCTCGCTGAGACTCAGTTGAACTTACACACCATGAGCATACACATGTTTAAAAAGGTTCGCGGATGTAGGATGGTTCCTCTTCAACATTGGTCTCTCGCTCAAGACTTCCACGCATACCATACCCATAAGTGTAATCGTGTACAACAGTTCGACCGAAGCGAGTGGTTGCTTTGCAAAACTGGGGTTTCGCTGGGGACCCCGCTGAATCGTACAGCGATATCTTCTCGCATTCGTCTTTGTTCTCTTGGCAGCTCCTTTTCAAAACGGGGCTGTCGCTTGCATGGCAGTCCCATCGGGTGCTGATCTTTCAAGGGGGCGCTGCTTGCAGTCTAAAGAACGGCCTGTAGGAACTTGTGAGGATCAACATGGGATTGGGGAAGGTGTATCCCAGCATCGTTGATGCATCTTGGGTTTGTCCTTGTCCTCTTCGTCCTCCGCTCCTTCCTCCTTCTCCTCCTCTCTCCTTCCTCCTCCGCTTCTCTCCTCCCTCCCCCCCCCCCTCCCCCCTCCTCCCTCCCTCCCCTCGCTTCGCCCCTGGCACCCAACCGCTGCGCGAGCTGGACGAGGTGACTTGGCCCGCTGCGCCGCGCGCAGAAAGATCGCCCCCTCCCCCCCGCCCCTCCGCTTCGGGGCGAGGACGCGGGCGCCCAGGCGGGGAGCCGGCCGGACCGGGCGACCTCGCCGGAGTCTGGGCGTGATGGGGGCCGCGGGCTGGCTCTGAAAGGGTCATTTGCACCTTGGAGTGGCCCTTCGCCGGAGTCACCTTCGGTGCGGGCCCACTGGGCCCCCCGATCGCTGAACGCGATGCGATAGCAGCGGCCTGCGCGCTTGGGTTTGGCTACCCCGCGCCCCCCAAAAAGCCGGACACCAAAGGTCACGCTTGCCTATACGCAGGGTTGCTCTTGCGTGCAGCCAGCGGGGGCCCAGGAGGCGGCGAGGGGGGGGGGGGTTATGTTCAGGTTGTTGTGGGCTGGCAGTGCTTCCTGGAGGAGAGGCTGGCAGAGCCCAGCGCTCCGGATAGGAGCCACCGCTGGCCCCGCCGAGCAGGAGCTGGAGTGGTCCTGCAGAAGGGGGGCCTGGGGCGCAGAGGTCGGGCGGGCGGGAGGAGGCACGGCGCGGTGTGAGCATCTCTGATGTCCGCCTCGCAGCGCGGCGCAGGCAACCGGCTCGCATGCGGGTGCCCTCGCCCTGGCTCCGTCTCGCTATTGAAGTTGTCCGCGGGACCACGCCTTGCTTGAACATGGTAATCAGGTGCGCGGCAGCGGCCGCTGCCCTCGGCGGCGTGGAAGGCGACCTGTCGACAGGTCCAGCCGACCTCCAGCGCGGGGGGGCGAAAGTTCGCGCCGACCCTCCAGCTCCATGCTGACATCTTGGCTCCCAGGCAATTGCCCAGGCCACATGGGCCTCAATCAGAAAGAGGGAGGTAGAAGGAGGGGGAGGGGGAGGGGGAGAAGGAGGAGGAGGAGGAGGAGGAGGAGGCGATGAGAACAGTGGCGTTGTTTGTTTGTGTGTGCATCCAGCATGTCCCAGCTGGTCGAACGTACTTGATCAAGACTTGCCCAAGGGCAGACAGGCGGGACACACGGCGCACAGCAGCCTCGCACAACGGCCGTGTTTTGAAACGCGTGCGACTACGTGGCTCAAGCCGCAGAGGCTCGAATCTAGAAGTCACTCTGTGACATGGACCAGAGCCAGGCAGTCAAAAGTTGCGCATCCACAGCTTGAGAGCTCTTTGGTTTCATCGTGCTCTCCGCTCTCCTCCTCCCTCGTCCTCTCCGAAAAAATCGCGCTCGAAGAAAAGAGCAGTGCCGCAGGAGGCCAAGCGGAGCAGCATCCGTGCTGCGTCAGACCCCTTGTGCGAGCCCTCGCCGCCGAAGCGTCGGCTGTCCGCCCTCCTCAGGGAGTGCGCCAGGGGCAATTCCGGAAAGAGCTCGGGGTCCCCCACACGGTGTGGTGACCAAACCGCGTGGTGTCGCGGGCGATTTTTCTCCCCCAGCTCCCGACTTTTCGACGAAAAACGAAGCCGCTCAGAAAAAGGCTAAAAGCCCTGGGATACCCCCAGGGGGTTATCTGGACGCACCCCTATCAAGGATGGGCCCAACCCTGGGACATGCCCTAGAAACCCCACGAAGCCTGGGATAGGGGTCGACATATCCCCTGTTATGGTGAGTCAGTGGGGATTCGGGGTCCCCGCACGGTTCTGCGACGACGTCTCGGGTGACCGGGGCTTCCGAGGTCCCAGTGCGTTGACGGGCCGCGCGGCAAGGTAGAGTTGGGAATTCCGAGGTCACCACGAGGTCCGTCACCACACGGTTGTGGGGCCCGAGTCAAGCGCAGCCTCCGTCGCGCTGGAGCGCCCTTCCGAAGCCGTTTTTTGCTCGGGCGGATCTCGGCGTCCGGCTGGCACAGGGCCCACCCGACGTCGGGGCGGCACAGGCCAGGGGAGAAAAGCACACTGGCATTGGTGCCCTGGCCTCGCTCCTTGGCCCGTTCGTCCGGGGGGGCTCTTGGAGGGGTGCCCCTCGCCGCCGCGGCCGAGTTATTCGCCTCGGAGCCCTGATCAGAGCGCACCCGGGGAGCAGGCGGAGGCCTGGGGAGCAGCGGCAGCGGCATCTTTCTGCTCAGGAGCAACGAAAGGACGTACGCGTACATGATCCTACGTGGGTTTCGGGAGTACGCACCGCGCGAACGTTTGTAGCACGCGGCCGGTCTCGCGGATTGCTGGGCCGTGTTCATGTACGCGATTGGGCGCGTACGTCCTTGGGGGGCTCTTTATCTGCGGCCCCCCAACAGGCACATCGGTCCCCAGGGCAGGCCACCATGTGGGGCGAGGAGTCTCCAGAGGCCAGCATGAGCATGGCGGCCATGATGGCGATGATGTGCAAAGGCTCGCGGGGTCGGGCCGTCACGCCCTGTGCGCGAGAGGGCTCGCTTCGGAGGGGGGCAGTTTCCGGGCGCGGACTTCCTCCGGTGTCTCGTCCCTTGCCAACCTCTGCCGAGCGCCACTCGGGCTCCCACAGAGCGCTCCCGCTCAGGGGCGTTGCGTTTCGACCCCGCTCAGGCGGGAAGAAGGGCTGCAAGGGCAAGAAGGGCGGCGGCAAGGGCAAGGACGGCAAGGACGGCAAGGGGAAGGTGGCGATGAGGATCGCCTCGGGCGAGCCCGTCTTCAGCGGCCAGATCAAGTCCTTCAACGTGGAGAAGAAGCATGGGTACATCGTGTGCGAGACGATCGGCGCGCAGTGCGGCCAGGACGTGTACGCTTTCGAGGACGTGCTCAAGCGTGGCTTCGCCGGCCCCGGCGACACCGTGGCCTTCTTTGTGCACTGGTCCGCGAAGGGGCAGCCGCAGGCCTCCTCGCCGTTGCTGAGGATCGGCGCCGCGGAGGGTTCTTGGGCGCTGAAGGGCACGTTCAAGCCCCCCAAGGATACGTCGTCTGCTTTCGGCTTCATCGAGTGCGCCGAGACAAAAGAGTTCTTCGGAAGGGACGTCTACGTCAACAAGGACCTCGCGCCGACCGTCACTCCAGGGGAGACCGTGAGGTTCAACGCCTACCTAAACAGGGACGGCATGCCCAACGCCGTCACGATGGAGGCTTGCGATCCAACGTGGGAGCCCGAGCCCAGCGACCTGACCAACTCGGTGCATCTGGAAGGCTTCAGCAAGGGCAGCCCCAAGGGCGGCGGCGGCAAGTGGGGGAAGGGCGGCGGCAAGGGCAAGAAGGGCAGCGGCTGGGAGGATCAGAGACCCCGGTTGTACCCATCACTGCGGTCGTCCCGCTACCCTGCCCTTCCTCCTCCCCTGGGCAATCGGCGTTTTATCCATACCCACGCTGCTGCCGCCCGCCCCCCGCCCGCCCTGGGCGCAAGGTGGGGTCGGGCATGGATCACTGAGCGCGTTCCACTACTCACAAAGTGCCTACTCGCATTCGAGAAAACCCACGTTCGCCTCGACGCAACATATCGTGAATGCCCCACAGCGAACCCGGGCCATTCGCGAGCAGTGACTTTGCGACTGTAGCAGAGCAAGCTTGCCTCACGGATGGATGGCGATCCTGGTGTCCGGAGGCCGATCTCTTTGCCCATCTGTCCCGAGTGTGGGCGTTCTGTTGTCCAGCTGCCTGCGGCAAAAGGCCCACCACCGCGGCAGCCCGGCACTCCGGGCGGCGGCTGCTCGAGGGCGGGAGGGCCGTGATGATCAGGATGCTGAGGATGTTGCTAGTGGTGGTGGTGGTGGTGGTGGTGGTGGTGGTGGTGGTCGGAGGTTGATGGACCTCCTACCCTGACACGTCGATTGAGGAATTGGCCGTTCTCGGTTCGCGAGAGGGCGTCGCGGCCATCATTTTTGCGGATCCAGGTCCGTCGGTTTCGGTCCCAGGCCGTTTTCACTGAGGGGAGGTTTACTAAAGGGAGGTTTTGTCCACCGCCGAGGTAGGCGGCGGAAGTAAAGTGGGCGCCTCCGCCGGCGGAAGCCGGTGCGGAAGGCCGGCGCAAGCCGGCGGAAGCAAAAGTCGACCTCCCAAGAGATGGCGACCTTTTGGGTTCACCTAGGCCTCCCAGAGGGGGTCCGAGGAAATGGGGTCGGAGGATCCCGCCGCATCGCCGATGCATCCACGATGCGGCTCGATGTGGAGCCCGTGTCCCCCACGCCGACGTTGCCCATTCATCGCCGACGTCGCCGATGACATCGCCGATATATTGGCGATGCATTGGCGATGCGGCGCGATCCTTCGACCCCATCTACTCGGACCCCATCCAGGAGGCCCCTAGCTCAGGCTTTCCGGGATCGGACAGCTGCGCGTCGCCCCAGAAGGGAAGACGTGCGTGCTCAGAGACCTTTGGTCGAGCAGTTATCAGTGCCTCCTGTCCGCCCCTCTCGTAGAGTTCTGACCAGACCAGGGGGATGGACAATATGCCGATCGCCGATCCACCTTGAGAGCAGCTTTTGAAGCGTCCTGGGGCCCAGTCAGGGCCCCCCAGAGGTCGCGCGTTACCACACACCTGCTGCCCTGTGACTTCTTCCCATGGCGCGAGGGTCCCCCTTCCCCCCCTCCACCCTCGTCCACCACGGGGTGGGGTGGGGCGGGGGGGAGGGGGGGGGGGACGGTGGGGGGGTGAAGGAGGAGGATTGAACCAACATCAGGAGACCCCCTATCAGGAGTTCGAGATCGGCATCCAGATGGGCATGCAGATGGCCGCCAAGGGCAAGGCGAAGGGCATGTCGGCCGCTGAGGCCCAGGCCGCCGCGGAGGCCGCCCTCGGCGTCGCCCTGCTGAGCGGCGGCGGTGGCAAGGGCTGGGGCGGCGGCTACGGCAAGTCCAAGGGCAAGGGCAAGAAGGGCGGCGGCGGCGGCGGGGGAGGCGCGGGTGGGCGGAGGAAAGGCTACAGTGGAAACCCATGCCAAGAAACACCCTGCTTGCCTCCAGGGTGCCCTGGGTTTCTTTGGTTTTGATGGTTACGCGATGGAGAGCGTAACGTTCCCACACCAACATCAATGGACGTCCTGGGGTTCCAGGGTTGATCTTCTTGAGGACGGTTGTTTGTGGTGGAGCTCTTACTGCATCTCAGAGTGAGGCGCCGAACGGTCTCACACCATCCCTGGGTGCGTGGCTACAGTGGCGATTCGGGGTGCCGAGTATCGTTGTTGTGATTGCCTTGTTGTCGTCGTCCTCGCCCCCTACCCCCGCACGACCCACCCAGCGACCCACCTCGCGACCAACCCCGCGACCCACCCGCGACTCACCTGTGACCCACCCGCGACCCATCCCGCGCCCGTGTCCTCACGCTTATCCAACGTTGCGGGGTGCTACGTACCTGTACCGCTATCTCTCCTCCCCCCTCCTCCCTTCCCCTCCCTCCTCCCCCCTTTCGCCTCTTTGGGCGGGTCTCCCGAGGGGTCCCCGTTGCCACGGTTGCACTCTCCTCGAAGCCCATTCGGCAGAGGACGCGCCCCAGGAGAGGTCCGTGGAGCAGCGGCATTCGTGCTACTCATCGGGCCTCGACCTAAACTGTGTTTCGGCGATGTCGTGGGCCGTTTTCGCGTTGGCTGCGTTCTGCGGCAGGGGCAGAACAAAGCCAGACCGTGGGAACTTGAATGATGGGCCGATTTTCAACCACTACTACCATAGAGAGGAGGAGGAGCAGGAGGAGGAGGAGGAGGAGGAGGATGAGGAGGAGGAACAGGAGGAACAGGAGGAACAGGAGGAGGAGGAGGACGAGGACGAGGAGGAGAAGGATGAGCCGCCCAACACCACCCAACGACGCTTTCTCAGACACAGACGGCACGCCGAGTGGACACAATGGCTCCCACGCGCCCAGACAGAGCCACACCAACGAGCCTGGGCTCTCAGCACGACAGGCAAGGGGGCAGGCGCGTTGATCGGACCGCCCACGCGACCCGACCACCACCCCGCTGACGATCACTTCTGGATGGCCTTGAGACACCGGCTCGGAGGCTTGGCCCGCGCAGCCGAGAGCCCCTGTCCTTCAAGAAGAAGGATTGATCCCCCTGCGGCGGCACCGCCGACATCCACGGACGCCACACACTCTGCTGCTCATATGGCGGTTTCCTGGTCAAGAGGCACAGCGCCCTGCGTGACACCATCGCGCGAGCCCTACGTGAAGCCGGCATTTCCGATATCGGAGTCGAGCCTTGGGTCCGCACGCCCAACGAGCCAGGTCACCCGGGTCTCCGCGCCGACCTCAGATGCACCGACAGCGATGGCCAGTGGGCATTTTTTGACCTAACCATCGTGTATTCTTCCTCGCAACAACGCCTGTAGGCTGGAGGGGCTCACACCCTCGGCACCGCCGCCAGACTTGCGGAACGAGCCAAGCACCGCAAGTACAGTGGCGCCGCAGGTTTTTAACCCGTGGGGTTTGAAGTCTCGGGGGGGGGCATGGGAGTCCACGTGAAAAAGGCTACCGCGGCAGATGCCGGATGGGCGTTGGCGCCATGCAGGAGGCTCTGAGCACCTTGCACTGGATTATTTCCACATGCGTGGTCCGGGAAGTGGCACGCACGCTCTTGAGCGCCGCCTGAGGCGGTGACCGTGCCCGGCCTGGGCGCCTAGCACAGGGCCCCGGTGGCTCACGTCCCTGGGCCTATACCGGGTGCCTACTTCCAACGCCGCTCAGCACGACCTTTCCGACCACGCCACCTTCGCGCCCTTCACAAGCACCACCTGTTCGGCGACAGCACCGCGACACCCGCCACAACTACCGCAGTGCCGACGGCAATCGCCACCACCACCACCACTCCGACCACTACGACTACCGCCACCACACCGGCATCCACGACCACCAGGTCGACCACTAAGACGCCCCCCCCGTCGCCCCCTCTTCCACTTCCTCTCCTTCCCCTTTCGCCCCTGCTGGGCCGCCCCTGCTTGCATCTCTCCTTCTGTAGTTCAGGTGCTACTTATGATTCGCGCTCAGAGGCGGAAATCCACGGGGCCAAGAGGCTGTGTCCAGTAGGTGGTGTTTTCCGTGCTAAGGGGCCCAGGACCACAAACCTAACGCCCGGGGACCCCCTTTGGGGACGGGGTTTTGGGCCCACTCGGGTGCCCCCGGGCCTTTGTTCTATTTAAAGAGAAGGAGGAGGAGGAGGAGGAGGAGGAGGAGGAGGAGGAGGAGGAGGAGGAGGAGGAGGAGGAAGGCGAGGCGAGGCGAGGCGATCCGCAGAAGGGGTGGTCGTCCAACTTCAGCTGTGAGACAGAGGAGGGGAGGAGGAGGGAGGAGGAGGGGAGGAGGAGGGGGAGGAGGGGGAGGAGGAGGCGAAGGGAGGAGGAGGAGGAGGAGAGGAGGAAGAGGACAAGGGAAAGGACGAAGAGGTAGGAGGAGGAGGAGGAGGAGGAGGAGGAGGAGGAGGAGCAGGAGGAGCAGGAGGAGGAGGAGGAAGAGGAGGGCCTCCCCCTCCTCCCCTCCTCCCTCGCCCTGCCGAGTGCAGCGGTGGTGGGAACATCGGCCCATCGTTGAAGCCAGCGCGAGAGCACCCCACGCGCTGCCGAGGCCGCGCGCGGTCGTTCGCTCTCCCTGGTCCACCCCCCCAGGCGGGGGCGCACCGCCAACTCCGACGGGGGAGGCGTTCACCGGCACCATCAAGTCGTTCAACGAGGCTCGGGCGGGTGGCAATTGGGGGGGCGGCTTCCCTGACCTTCCAGAGTGCTGAAACATAGCCCTCCAGACCTATATGCCTACCTGGACTGCTGAAAGCCTCGACAGGAATTGAGACGCCAAGGTCCTGGTGCTAGTTCCTAGCCCTCGTGGAAGGTCAGGGTGCCATGGGGGGCGAAGCAGACCCAGACCCCCTCGCGTTGGAACCCAAAAAACACGGCGGGATGTGTTTTTCGCTGTGTTCGGCCTGGGGGCCCTCCCCGGGCCCCGGGACCGTCAACAACCCACTCAGGACGAGAAGCCGGTCCCGGGGAAGGGGTCCAGACCCCTGGGGTCGTCGTTCCGACAAGATGTCACGACGTCGGGCGTCTGGGAATGGCCTTGACGGGGCCCTTTTTCGTCACCCCCATTCAGGCCCCCCCCCTTAACACCCGCCCGACGAGGCTTACAACTACGGCTTCGTCGACTGCCCCGAGGTCAAGGAGGCCTACGGCAACGACGTTTTCCTGCACGGCAAGGAGCTTTCGGGCCAGGGCATCGGGGACACCGTGTACTTCGAGCTCGGCGTCAGCGCCAAAGGCCAGCCCCAGGCCGCGAGCTCAGCGGACGCGGTACCCTCGTTGCAGACCTGGCCGCGCTGCTGATCCCCAGGGGAGGCAAAGGTACTGCCACCGCTACCCTCGCCTCGTTTTCACCTTTTGGGGCCTCCTGGGGGGCCCTGCCGCCGCCACGGCTGGATTCTGAGGCGAGGAGAGGTCCAGGGATTAGCGGTATCGGTCTTTTCTTCTTTCCCCAGGTCCAGCCTGTTCTCCACGTCTCTCAAGGCATCCGAGATGGGGTCGGAGATGCACCGGCGATGCGGCTCGATGCAGAGCCCGATTTTCTCCACGCCGACGTCGAGGACAACGCATCGCAGACGTCCCCGATGCATCGCCGACGTCACAGATCGGAAAACGTCAATATGGCATTCCAAGGCCCTCGCATCCTTACCGCGCACCCTTACTGTGCTCCCCTCCTCGGCAGCGCCAGGGGTGTGGGCGTGCCGATGTGCCCTTCAGCCGCGGGCGGCGAGGTATCCACACCCCAGCGCTGCCCTGATGCGGCTCCACATCGGGCGGTTGGCCGTGCGGACATGAACGGGGAGCGTTTCTTTACTTCCAGGCCTCCCAGATGGGGTCCGAATGGATGGGGTCGAAGGATCTCGCCCCATCGCCGATGCATCGACGATGCGGGTCGATGTAGAGTCAGAGTTTCTCCACGCCGATGACGCCGATTCATCGGCGACGTCGCCAGTGCATCGCCAATGCATCCTCGATGTATCGCCGATGCGTCGGTGATGCGGCGCGATCCTCCGACCCTAACTACTCGGACCCCATCTAGGAGGCCTCTGTTACTCCTGGGCGATAGAGGGCGTTGCCGGGCAGGGGGGGCGGGGGCCAGCAGCTTCACGTTTTGCGCCGGCGCCGTCTGGGATTTGTTTTATGATTCTAGGAATAACCTAAGTCAGTTCGAAGGTCAGCACGAATCGCGACGTTACCTGGGGGGAGGGGAGGGCTGGGGCCGGTAGCGGCCGCTATCGCGAATTACCCGAGACGTACCCAACCCCTTCCCCACGCGAGGCGAATCTTGATATTAACATTCCATACAAAACAGGCACATCGCCAAGTATGCACGATCTGCGTTGCCGTCATCTCCGCCGTGTCTCCCAGGAGCCCACGAACGTGGCGACAGTTGCGCACTTCGCAGCCCCCGAGGGAGCCGCGGGGTCACAAATGGATCTGCGCTGCCCTCACCTTCGGCGTGCCTCCCAGGAGCCCACGAAAGTGGCGACAATTGCGCAGTTCGCAGCCACCGAGGGAGCCGCGGGGTCACAAATGGATCTGCGCGGCCCTCACCTCCGCCGTGCCTCCCAGGAGACACGGAAGTGGCGACTGCGCAGTTCGCAGCCGCCCAGGGAGCCGCGGCGTCACAAATGGATCTGCGCGGCCCTCACCTCCGCCGTGCCTCCCAGGAGCCCACGAAAGTGGCGACTGCGCAGTTCGCAGCCACCGAGGGAGCCGCGGGGTCTCAAATGCATCCTCGCTGCCCTCACCTCCGCCGTGCCTCCCAGGAGCCCACGAAAGCGGCGACATTTGCGCAGTTTGCAGCCACCGAGGGAGCCGCGGGGTCTCAAATGCATCCTCGTTGTCCTCACCTCCGCCGCGCCTCCCAGGAGCCCACGAAGGTAGCGACTGCGCAGTTCGCAGCCACCGGGGGAGCCGCGGGGTCACAAATGCATCCTCGCTGCCCTCACCTCCGCCGTGCCTCCCAGGAGCCCACGAAAGTGGGGACAGTTGCGCAGTCCGAGAGGTCCGCGCTGGATCTTCGTCGCCCCCGACGTCGCTGGACCTCCCATGAGCCAACGGAAGTGGTGACAGTTGCGCAGTTCGCAGCCACCCGTGGAGCAGCGAGGTCCCCAATGGGTCCGCGTGAAACTCCACTCCGCCGTGCCTCCCAGGAGCCCACGAATGTGGTGACGGTTGCGCAGTTCGCAGCCACCCAGGGAGCAGCGAGGTCCCCACGGGATCCGCGTGGCCCATTGACTCCGCTGGACCTCCCAGGAGCCCACGAACGTGATGACGTTTGCGCAGTTCGCAGCCACCCAGGGAGCCGCGAGGTCCCCGCTGGGTCTGCATGCACCTCCACTCCGCTGGACCTCCCAGGAGCCCACAAAAGTGGTGACGTTTGCATCGTTCGCAGCCGCCCAGGGGGCCGCGAGGGTCCAAATCGGTCCGCGTGTAAATCCTCTCCGCTGGACCACCCAGGAGCCCACGAATGTGGCGACAGTTGCGCAGTTCGCAGCCACCCGGGGAGCAGCGAGGTCCCGTCGGGGTCCGCGTACAACTCCACTCCGCTGGACCTCCCGGGAAAATCACGAGAGTGGCGACAGATGCGCAGTTCGCCGCCCCCCGTGGAGCCGCGAGGTCCCGTCTGGGTCCGCGTACACGTCCTCTCCGCTGGACCTCCCAGGAGCCCAGGAAAGTGGTGACAGTTGCGCAGTTCGCAGCCTCCCAGGGAGCAGCGCTGAAGGATACAGGAGGAGGAGATGCTGAGACCGCAGTGCTCTATTCAAAACGAGAACTCAAAACGTGGCCCCAGTGCTCTATTCAAACGGACCTTCTAGGAGCCCACGAACGTGGCGACACTTGCGCAGTTCGCAGCCACCCAGTTTGCGTGGGTCCCCGACACCGCTGGACCTCCCAGGAGCCCACGGAGGTGGTGACAGTTACGCAGTTCGCAGCCTCCCAGGGAGCCGCGAGGTCCCCACGTGATCCACGTGGCCCCCACCCCACCTCCACCGAGCCTCCCTGGAGCCCACGAAAGTGGCGACAGTTGCGCAGTTCGCAGCCTCCCAGGGGATCTTCGCAGGAGCAGACAGGAGGAGGAGGTGGGAGGAGAAGGAGAAGGAGTGGATACCACAGTGCTCTAGTCAATACGAGAGCCCAACACAGGAGGGTTGGACATCATAGAACAATGCACTATTGGCCTCCTTAGATAAGCAGCCTGGAACATACACCTATCCCCATGACTGGCAGCACCTGACCTCAATACCGTTCCTAAGGGTTCCCTCAGTTTGTGAGGGCGCATCTCTAGGATTGTCATCGCCTCTGGGCTTGTCAGCCCTTGGGACAGGGGTACGGTCGAGGCTGGTTATCAGATGCAAGGTGCTGCATGCCCCAACCGGCCGTCTCCAGCCCAGGGCGAGCATCCGAGCCCTACTCCAGGTCTCACTGGGAGGGCCAGTCCGGAGTCGAGAGTCGGACGACACTGCCCTCGGCAAAGAGCCTGCCCTGGAAGAGCGAGGGCTCCGACGCAGAATCCCCCGTACCGCATCATTCGCGGTATCCAGGGCAGCGCCAGAGGCCTACAGCTTGCAAGGCGAATTCAGCCTGGGGAGTTTCGAGCGCCGCGTGGAGGTCGCCACTGCGACGACGCCCAAACAGCAGTGCACGAAGTACATGCGCCGCTCACCGAGGGGCCACGGGACCACCACAAAGCTCTCGACCACAGGGCTACGAGGTGGAACATTGAGGAACGGGAGAGTGCTTGGGCCAGTCTCCGCATGGGGTGTTTGCATGGGTCCCAGGGGAGGTCCAACGAGGAGCCAGGCAAGATGGTGAGCGTAGTGCTCAGGAAGGGACGTCCTCCTGTTAGCGCTACGCTTAGCCACCATGGTCAAGATCCCTGGCCTCCTGGTCTTCGGATCCCGCCCCCTGCAGCCAAGAGCACAAAGGGGTGCTCCTGGTGGCACACATGGCAGCTATCGCTGAGTCCAAAAGGAGAGCGGACGGGCAAACCTCCGTGACTCGTGTGTTGATCACTGCCACAACGGTCGCACACGAAACCAGGGCATCGGGAGAGGCGGAACGTCCACGGGAGGGACAGGAGAGTGCCACGACGAAGGTCCGCAAGCTTGGCATGCCCAGCCTGCAGCTCAAAGTCGCCGTACTGCCCGTCAAGGGATCTACACTCTAGGCGATGCTTAAGAAAACCCCAGTTTTCGGCCAGAGTCTCGATTATTCTTCATGTTTCAATGTAAATCCCAAGATTTGAATAGGCATTCTGGGTTTTCATTCAGATTCTGAGACTATGAATTTCTTAACCCATGATTTCTAAAGCATTTCGCAGGGTGTACCCTTACCATGTCCGCACATGAAGGAAGCAGGGTGGGAGGTCCCGAGCCGGATCTGTTGCGTGGCTACGCTCGGACTCCATGGTGTCCTGCACGTGGGGCGCTCCGGAAGGGGCCTCGCCTTCGATGGATCGAGAGGCTGTCCGTCTTCCTTCGGCAGGAGGACAGCGAGAGTGAAACGATGGCGGCTGAGCCAGCGGAAGCTCCGCGGAAGGCGGTGGACGCAGAAACAGCCCCCGAGATGTGTCAACTTGTTTGGGTACAGTGCGGACGCGGTCGTAAGACACCCTCGCAAGAAACCCAGCCTTGAAACCCCGCGCGCAAGATGCACACGCGGGGGAACCCAGAGCACCCTGAACGCAGCAGCTTCTTCAACGGCCGCGGAGAGTCGTCGCGCAGCGAGCGGAGCAAAGAAACTCAGGGTACCTCGACGAAAATCATAGGGTTTCTGGATGCGCGTCCCGACTGTGCAGGGCTTGCCGACCGGCCCATGTAGGTGGTGTGCCCTGCGAGCCCCTGTTGAAGCTGAGCTACCGACCCCTCTCTCTCGAACAGGCAGTTCAGAACCCCACGGAGCGGGGTCGGCGCACGGCGCATCACGCGCTGACTATCTATCTATCTATCTATCTATCTATCTATCTATCTATCTATCTATGTATCTATGTGTGTATGGAAGTCTGGTCTCCTCCGCCTCCTCCCCCGCCGCCCGTCCTCCTCCTCCATCCTCTCCTCCGCTGGCTCCCGATGTCCCCCCACTCCCCCGCCATCCTTCCTCCCCCCCCATTCTCTCTCTCTCTCTCTCTCTCCCGAAGCCGCATGCACACGACAGAGCCTCCCACGTCCACGCGACAGCAGGGCACGAGGCGCCAGACGAAAAGGGAACCGCCCGAGAGGCCACAGCCTCTCCGCCCGGGCCGCTGAACGGCCCGCGCGTGCGCGTGCGCGCACGCTCTCGCCCGAAGGTGTCGATCCGCCTTCCTGACTGCCCACTGAGGCCATGAACGTTCAGTCCGTGGACGCGAACGGCAACCCGGTGCCCGCAGGTGAAAAGGCCGGCCAGCCCGCCGCCAAGAAGGCCAGGCTGAACCCGGGCCTGCAGAAGGGCGGAGCCGGCGGGAAGGGCGGAGCCGACGACGAGGCCATCCTGAATGCGATTGCGGAGAGCATGGGCGAGGGCGTCGCGGCGTCCTGGGACGCCTTTGGCGCTCAGGCCCAGGCCCCACGACGCCGTCTCAGTCAGGGGGGCGGAGGGGGACAAGGCAGGGGAGGGAGGGAGGGAGGGTGGAGGATGGAGATGGAGGATGGAGGATTGAGGACGGAGGACGGAGGATGGAGGATGGAGGATGGAGGATGAGGGGAGTAGGAGGAGGAGGAGGAGGAGGACGAGGAGGACGAGGAGGAGGAGGAGTTGGACGAGGAAGAGGAGGAGGAGGAGGAGGAGGACGAGGAAGAGGAGGAGGAGGAGGAGGAGGAGGAGGAGGAGGAGGAGGAGGAGAAGCACGACCAGAGTAAATCCAAGATGCATCAGCCATGCCGCACTTCACCCTGCCGTCCCAAGGCCCCTCATACGGTCCTACAAGCTGTCCTTTGCACAACCAGAAGCGCTCCCCTCGAAAGACCAGCAGAGTCAGGCCTGCTGCTTTTGTGAGGGCCCTGCTCTGAAAAGGGCACTGCCCTGCACCCTTCTGGCGCGTACTCAGGAGTGCGAGAACTGTGATCACAACGTTGAACGGGGTGTCCAGCGAGGTCCCCCCTGTCGAAGCAGGGCCGCCCCCCGCCCCTCCATTCCAAAGAAGAGCCGCCCCGGATCAGTGCAGTGCGACGCGTGTGGAAGCGTCGGGTCTCTCAATGAGCGAAGCTTGTAGCGAGAACCCCACTTCGAACATTAGTGGTCGGTGGCCGAGGTGGACGCAGTGCGGTATTTCCCCCCTCTCCTTCCTCCTCTTCGTCCCTCCTGGCTGGTTTCCCAAGTGTACATGACTTTCCGAGGGGGTCCAGACCGAAAGCAGCTGTCAGTCGGCCTGAGCTCGACGTGTGTTGCCGATCATGTAAGTTATTAGGAGATTTCGAACATGGGCAGTCCTGTCTCCTTCTAACTGCTGCGTAAAAAAACGACTGTGGGCTGCGCCGAGGCGAGGCCGCATTTTGGAAACGGCAGGTGCTCACTTCCTGCAGCAGTTGCAAGACTTTGGGACGATTGTGCGCGGGGCTTTGACGAGAGCCCCGTCTTGAGAAGGAGCCGCCCTCCATCCTTGAAGCTGTCACCATAGAAGACTCGATATTTTGATATCTCGATATCTCGATGTTGAGGGCGGGGACTCGATATCTCGATATCTCGATATCTCGGTATCGGGGGCGGGGCCAGGCGGGGACTCGATATCTCAGTATCTCGATATCTCGATATCGGGGGGCGGGGACTCGATATCTCGATATCTCGGTATCTCGATATCGGGGAGGGGGGCGTTCGGGGCAGGGCTCGATGTACGGCGCCTCGCCCCCCCCCCCTCCCAGAACCAGAATTTCTTTCCGCACTGCCTGCGGGCCCGCATGGGCCCCCTCGAGCGGGACCCGTCCGCGGCGCAGGGCGTGCATAAGGACATTTCGCATTTTCTAAATATGGGTCAGAGGGGTCCCCGGGGGGTCGGAGGAGTACGTGAAAGTCCAGAGTGCGAGGATGACGATGACGATGTTGCGGATGCTGATGCGAATGATGGTGATGATGATACAAGTGATGGTGGTGATCGTGCTGTATACGCGGATCATGCTGTGGATGATGATGGTTATGATGATGTTGGTGATGATGGTGATGATGATGATGATGATGGTCATGCAGACGGTAAGGTTGATGATGTGGTTGATGATGACGACGATGATGTTGATTATGAGGATGATGACGTTGATGACGTTGATGAAGGTGACGATGGTGATTATAATGATGATGCCGATGATGCCGATGATGGCGATGCTGATGCTGATGACGATACTGTTGACGATAACGATGATGCGGATGATGATGATGATGATGATGATGATGATGATGATGATGATGATGATGATGACGGTGACGGTGACGAGGATGATGATGTTGATGCTGACGATGATGATGGCGACGACGCTGATGATTGTGGTCAAGATGATCATGCTGATGCTAATGCTGATTATGGTGATGGTAATGATGGCGATGCGGATGCTGACGACGATGATGACGACGATGCTGCTGATGATGCTGGTGGTGATGCTGCTGCTGATGATGGTGCTGGTGATTTTGTGTATGAGGATGCTGATGATGCTGATGATGATGCTGATGCTGATCATACTGATGATGCTGCTGATGAGGATGCGGGTGTTGATTATGCTGATGATGATGCTGATGACGAGGATGATGACGATGGTGATGACGATCATGCTGCTGATGATGATGCTGCTGATGGTAGTGCCGATGGTGATGCTGATGATGACGATGATGATGCTGCTGATGATGATGGTTGTGATGATGCTGATGGTGATGACGATGATGATGGTGATGATGATGATGATGGCGATGATGATGATGATGATGATGATGATGATGATGATGATGATGATGATGATGATGATGATGATGATGATGATGATGATGATGATGATTATGATGATGATGATGATAAGAAGGCGGATGCGGAGAAGGAGGAGGATGAGGATGAAGAGGAGGGGGTGGAAGCGGGGGACGATGATGATGATGAGGAGGAGGAGGACGACGAGGAGGAGGAGGAGGCGGTTGCGGAGGGGTAACAAGCAGAAGAAGGGAGGGGAGGAGAAAGAGGAGTAGGAGGAGGAGGAACGGGAGGAGAAATAGGAGAAGGAGGAGGAGGAGCATGTTTGGGGAGACACAGGAGGAGAAGGGAGATGCGGAGGAGGAGGCGGAGGAGCACGAGGATGCTGATGCTGATGCGGATTTTGATGATGCTGCTGCTGATGATGATGATGAGTACAATAAGTAGAAGGATTCAACCGAGAAAGATGGGGATTGTGATGATGATGCTGCTGACGCTGATGCTAATGATGATTGGGATGCTAATGATGCTGATGATGATTACGATGATGAGGAAGACGATCACGATCCTGATGATAGTGTACGATGGTGATGATGTTGTTGACGATGATCATGCTGATGTTGTTGAGGATGATGACGCGGATGTGATGATGTTGTTGATGATGATGCTGTTGCTGATGATGATAATGTTCATGGTGGTGATGATGTTGATTTTGATGACGGTGACGATCATGATGGTTCTGATGGTGACGACGACGATGATGATGATGATGATGATGATGATGATGATGATGATGATGATGGTGATGTTGCTGCTGATGATGATGATGATGATGATGTTGATGATCCTTATGATGATGATGATGATGATGATGATGATGATGATGATGATGATGATGATGATGATGATGATGATGATGATGATGGTGATGTTGCTGCTGCTGATGATGATGATGATGTTGATGATCCTTATGATGATGATGATGATGATGATGATGATGATGATGATGATGATGATGATGATGATGATGATGATGATGGTGATGATGGTAGCCACCACCCCTGCCTTACTCATCGTCCTCATGGTCGCCCTCCGACCCCCGTGGACCCCTCTGGCCCAAACTCAGACAAGTGGTAACTTCCTCATGCACGCCCTGCGCCGCGGACGGGCCCCGCTCGAGCGGGCCCCAGCGGGCCCATGCGGGCCCGCAGGCCGTGCAGAAGGAAATTCTGGTCCTGGGAGGGGAAGCGAGGCGCCGTTCGTCGAGCCCCGCCCCGGACAGCCCCCTCTCCGATCGGGGTATCGAGATATCGAGTCCCCGCCCCCGATATCGAGATATCGAGATATCGAGATATCGAGATATCGAGTCCCAGCCTGGCCCCACCCCCGATATCGAGATATCAAGATATCGAGACCCCGCCCCTGGAGATGTCGAGATGTCGAGATATCGAGATATCGAGTGCCCGCACCCCAATATCGAGATGTCGAGATATGGCGTCCCCGCCCCCCGATATCGAGGTATCGAGGTATCGAGTCCCCACCCCTCGATATCGAGATACCGAGGTACCGAGATATCGAGTACCCGCCCCCCCCCAAATATCGAGGTACCGAGGTATCGAGATATCGAGTCCGGGCGAAACATTACCCTGTGACGTACCCGACCCTTTCTATACATGTGGCGATTATACTCAGGACCACTCAATGCTGACTGGCATTCTGAAGGACCCGAAGTGCGCAGAAAGAGCACCCAACCGTGCTCCTCAGAACAGCGCAGCAAGAAGTCCCGTGGTGATCCGCGTATGACGTACTTCCGCTGGGCCTTCCAGGAGCCCACGAAAGTGGCGACAATTGCGCAGATCGCAAGCCCCCCATGGGCGGCGAGGTACCGAGGTGATCCGCGTATGCCGTACCTCCGCTGGGCCTCCCAGGAACCCCCGAAAGTGGCGACAATTGCGCAGATCGCAAGCCCCCCAGGGGGCGGCGAGGTACCGAGGTGATCCGCGTGGGACCCACCTCCGCTGGGCCTCCCAGGAGCCCACGAAAGTGGCAACAATTGCGCAGATCGCAAGCCCCCCAGGGGGCGCGAGGTACCGAGGTGATCCGCGTGGGACCCACCTCCGCTGGGCCTCCCAGGAGCCCACGAAAGTGGCGACATTGCGCAGATCGCAAGCCCCCCAGGGGGCGGCGAGGTACCGAGGTGATCCGCGTGGGACCCACCTCCGCTGGGTCCCAGGAGCCCACGAAAGTGGCGACGGTTGCGCAGATCGCAAGCCCCCCAGGGGGCGGCGAGGTACCGAGGTGGATCCGCGTGGGACGTACCTCCGCTGAGCCTCCCAGGAGCCCACGAAAGTGGCGACGGTTGCGCAGATCGCAAGCCCCCCAGGGGGCGAGGTCTCGATCCGCGTGGGACGTACCTCCGCTGGGCCTCCCAGGAGCCCACGAAAGTGGCGACGGTTGCGCAGATCGCAAGCCCCCCAGGGGGCGGCGAGGTCTCGAGGTGATCCGCGTGGGACCCACCTCCGCTGGGCCTCCCAGGAGCCCACGAAAGTGGCGACGGTTGCGCAGATCGCAAGCCCCCCAGGGGGCGGCGAGGTACCGAGGTGATCCGCGTGGGACCCACCTCCGCTGGGCCTCCCAGGAGCCCACGAAAGTGGCGACGGTTGCGCAGATCGCAAGCCCCCCA